AGCCTGCCGGCGGCCCGCGCGTCCAAGCTTGCCTTGCCCGCTTAGGACTTCTGTGGACTGCCTTTGACTCCCTTGTGTGGCCCTGGACTTGGTCTTGGCCTCGCCTGTGCACTGGGACCGCGCAGAACGGTTGAAAAAAGTCCGACGAAAAAAAAAAAAAAAAAAAATCGGAGAATGCCCTGTCACCAGAACTGTGCCACTTCACTTGTGCAAGGGGTATTCGGATTGATGCATACCCTGCAGTTGTTGGAGCCTCTGGATTGACAAGAGCTGCTAATTTGGGGGCTCTTGATCCTTTAGAGGCCGCATCTCAAGACCCAAGGGAGATTAAAACGCGCATGCCGGGAATCGCAGGATTGGCGGCAGCCCTTGGAGGGGAGCATCATCCTCCCGCAGAGGCGCGTGCACCAAAGGCAGAGGCAGAGAGGTGTGAAAGTCGTAAACGCACGTCCCGTGACCATGACAAGAGTGTGAACCATGATGCACTTCTCAAAGAGCTTGGAGCCCGTAGTGCTTCCGGACCCCACTTGTCGGCTCTGGAGTTCAGCAGCGGAAGTGTGGACAAGGAATTCAAGAAGAAGAAGAAGAAGAAACGTAAGAAATCACGGAAGGAGTCGTCCTTCACAGTCACAAATGAAGTTGAGGGAAGTCTATCAAGTCTGGAAGGTGGAACGTGATGAGAACAAGTCAGCAGAAGGGGTTCTTGACTGGGCGGGTCTAAGAGCTGAATAGCTGGGTGGACAAGGTCTGGTTTGGTCACCCTTAACACTCTCGTGCGTGACCTCACTGTCGATGCAACCCGGATAGATGACCGGCGCGTTGAAGTCATAGCTAACGGCATATTTTTGTGGGGGGGGGCACTAAGGTAGCAGTTGACACAACGCTTGTGTCTGCCCTCACTGCAGCGGGTGCCCCCCGCCGTCACGCTGGCACTACGTGTCACCCGCCGAGCCAAATACGCACGTACCCCGAGCTACGGCACGTACCCCGAGCTCTGGATAGCGTGCGGTCTTGCGCCGTCTGGCAACGGCCATTGAAGCACCATCCCGGGAATCTGCTGCGTGGGCAGGCAAGCCATTGCGAGTCAAGGCGGACACCAGCGTCGCGTCGCAGCACAGGGCGACCCCGTTCGGTGTGGTGCCGTACACAGCGCGGTCCAGGCGGCAGCGGTCCTCCGGCGCCACACCGGGCGCTGTGGTGTTGGCAAGCCATTGTTGAGGAACCTCTCGGCCTTCTGTGCCACTTGGACCCATGCCCGCTCAAACACAAAGCCTCGCCGCGCCAACACGCCTGTACGAGGGCAGGACGTGGGGCAGTCGCCCAGCGCATCGACAACTCCGCGGCAGCCATGCTGGCCATCCCAACCACAGCGTGCTCGCGTGATGGGGAGCGGGAAGCGCAAACGGCGCCGCAGAGCGGGATGCATGAGGTCAGGCGCAAGGGTGGCCGCGGCATCCGCGGGTATGGCGGAAAGCCACACGCCGGCATGCGAGCCTGACTGGGATCGCAACATTGCCCGGGCGCTAGGGTTGGCAGTCGGCAGAACCACCTGCTCTCGGAAAGTTGTATCAAGTGCAAGAGCAGCATGTCTCTGCCAGCCTGACGCACCCAGACCGGGTTCGTTGCCATCGGATGGCGGGCTTTGTCCGCCAACGAGGCCTCTCCACGTAGGCCGCTCTTCCCAGCCTTCGCGGTCGAGTCGTTGCCCTGCTGCCGCGGTTGCGTAAGCTAGAATCACTTCGTCCTCAAGGGGGGCCATGCGCCCCACAAAGGCGCGTACCCCATGGACCTTGACGGTTAAAGCGGCATACGGGACTGGCACCTGTTCGACGGAGTCAAATGAATAATGAGCCTCAGTGTGCATGATCCTGAATCATCCTCCTTCCACGACTTATGGACACCGAACAAAGCATTATAGACAGGATCACCCTTGATGCGCAAGGGTCTCATCCTCGACCTCTCGTTCAAACATCCCAGCCTTTACCAAGTGCTCGACGATGACGTCAAATTCCTAGTCAGACTCCACCAACACTGGGGCCGATTCATGATCCGGGATCCGGAACAACTCAGCGTCCTCAACGTAAGGCCGGAGCAGAGGATCCATGGTCGTACCCAAATCATCCCAAATCAATCCTACCGGCCCCTCCCGGTCCAGGCACATGCGGCGCGATAGCCTTCCATGAAACCTTGTACGCGTTCTGCACTTCGCGACCCGTACACATGTCCCCTAAACTCTTGCCGTGCCATTTCCCATGAACCCAGGTCCATCTGCACACGGTCCTCGACGAACAAGGCGGCATATTTCCGAAAGCGATCAACAGTCCGCTGTTGATTGGCATCCACTCCATTGACTGGGGGAGAACGTGACCAAGAACCTGGCTCGATCCACACCAGAGGAAGTTCACCAATGCAACCTGAAGAAAGCACGAAGACTCGACCCCAAATTTCTCAGCCTCATAGGCGATCTCATGCCAGACATCATCATCCATCACATTTGATTCCCAAGCAGTCATCATCTTGTCCTGGAAGCCAAAACCCGAGCCACCGTTCCCAGACTGTTTGATCCCAATAATTACTTGGCTGGACATGGAATTTGCCAACAACTTCACGAACGGCATCAATCTCTGACTCCAAGACATACAGGTGCCTCCCAGATAAAGATGACGATACTCCCTGACGATCCAGAGTATCCCGGTATGACTCGCAGAAGACTGAGCACGTGGTGTGGACGTCCCCACGCCCGACATAAACACCACCATCATCACCACGCCACTCCGGGTCAAGGCGACAGATGAGCAGAGCTTTGTAGACATCCAGCACTTGCCTCACCATGTGGTCGGGGTCCCAGGGAAGGGGAACGGCTTCGGAGAGGGCATTACTTCCACCGGTCGCGCGTGGATACCTGAATCTAATCTTTCTGAAGAAGCACCCCCCTCAAGCAGTTGGCATGAGGAACTTGAAAGAAATGACCACCATTGCTACGGTCATAGAGTCATAAACCACATCGCGAGCAATGATCCGCTTCGCGCTTTGGACGTATTGGTCCAAAGACTGAAAGGTCTGGAGATTGCCTACCAACAGGAAAATTGGGGGCAGGCGTCTCATCTCGAACTTGTGAAGGTGAGCGACTCATGCTCATGCTTCAGGGAGGAGCTGAAGGCAGCGCAGCAGGAACTGAAATCGGATTGGAGTTTGCAGCGGGGACGTCGACAGCCCAGGAAACCGTTGGACAACTCCATGGTTCGACAAGTCCGAGGCCACAGTCGATCGCGAGGCCGGGAAGTAAGGAGGCGAGGACAAACCCCCAGAGAACAATCCCGGAAAGGGAACACAATTCCAGAAGGGAAAAGGAAGAGGGAAGAAAGGCAAGTTTTGCCGATGGTGAGGGGGACGGGCATATAGGGCCCTCGCTGCGGATAGTGGTGATGGCTCGCTTCGCTTGTCTTGCTTTGACAGGGCTCTAAACCATCCTTCCTTCACTGATGAGGATGTGAAATAGAGTAGTCTCTGACCGTGACCCACGTTGGTCACAGACCTGACTCTCTGAAGACTTGGCGCGGTACACGGAAGACCCGCGGATCATTTCAATTTTCGAGTTCATTCGGGGTTGCACCGCTTGCAGCAAGACTTGAGAAAGGTTGGAACATGAGCTGGCGTGCCATATTGTTGACTGTTTCTGCCAGGACCTCAGGAGTAGCCCCTGACATTTTTGCAAAGTGCGCGATCCCCGTCGACCTGGCTTGCGCTGATGCATGCGATGAATGCGGTCTACTCCCTTGGGAAGGGCGGCAATTTGATGATAATACATGATGATGATGATGACGACCCTCATAGATCCCCCTGTCCGACGCAGCAATAACCCTGAAGGAATAACAAAAATATCGACGTGGAATGAGAAGTATTCACCAGGCGTGGACAAGGGTAGAAGTGGAACCGGCTCTACCATTGGAACAACCTCCCGCCAGGAACTCCAGCGAGGGACCCCATTCTCACAAGCAAGCTTTGAATAAAATCAATAATGTCTAACCACCCCATGGGCGCAAGCTTCACACGAGGGCGTGCTGGCACCCTGCACCCATCCTTGAAACACGACCCGCGAGCCAACTTGTTGAGGACAAAGTACCCACGCCACTTGGCTGATGGCGCGAAGATGCGCCACCGTTATCCCGCAAGTTACGACGTGCCGTGGCAGCTGCAGCAATCCATCTGCTCGAGAAAGAACCGGGCGAGCCCCGAGGCTCCAAAGAATCCAGCGGATGGCCCATCATTTTGGATCTCGAAGCGTGCTCGTGCTGATGCCTAGGTTGAAGCAAGTGCTGAGCAAACGGTCAAAAAGCGAGCGCAGAGCTGAAAGAAGATCGTTGGGTGCATTGAGGTCCAAGGTTGTTTCACGTAAAACTGACTCGCGATACCTTGAACATGTTTCACGCTTTTTGCAGTTCCTGGAAAGAAGGACCATGGAAAATCATATCCTCGAACGCTCGCTTCTCTTGATTTGGAGGTGTCAACTTTCATTGAGCATATGTGGGAAGAAGGTGATCCCAAGAGTTGAGCCAGTGATGCATTGAGTGGGCTGGGGCATTTCATCCCATCTGTGAGGCCACATTTGATCGGGAGTTGGCGATTACATGGAGCTTGGTCTCGCACTGAGTTTCCTGCAGGGCTCCGCCATTCACTCCCATGACCACATATGCACTAGCTCAGCTAGCTTTTGATTCCGGCTGGGCTGACACAGCCGCGCTGCTTGCTTCTTGGCTTTCGCGTGTTTGCTCGATCAGGCGAGCTCTTTGCTGCGAAGTGCGGGGACCTCAGCCTCTCTCGAGGCAAAGGCACCTGGTCATTACCTTTGACAGAACCTGGCCAGCGTGTAGGAGCTTCTGAGTCACTTGTTATTGATGATCCCTTTGTGGGCATTACTATTGTAAATCTTTGTCGTTTCCGTGCTCCTGGTGATCTTCTTTCTTCAGTGCCGCCTGGCACACAGCGCAGGACTTGCTTTCACGTCTCAACATCCAAATTCCTTTTCGATGGTATTCACTGAGGCGTGGAGGTGCCACGCACGAATTCCGCAAATCTAACAACCTGTCAGCTGTGTGTTTTAAGGGACGTTGGAATGCCACCAAGACCACCCGCATCTACATTTGTGATGGGATTGCACAACTTACCGAGCTCACGCTCTCGCCTTCTAAAGTGCGTCAACTTCGCGCACTTGGTTTCCAGGCAAGGCCAAATTGGATGAGTGTGTGACGACGTCGGTGATGGAGTCTAGCTCCTTTTGCCCTCCCCACCCTACCATGCTCGTGAGTCTGCTGTCATACCTTTTTTTTTCTGCCACTCTCAACTCCTTCACTTGAGCCAGCTACCATTTTTCGCGCGTTGCGCAGAGCGGGGGGAGGTGGACACCAGTGCGGCATGCGCTTGGTACTGACCCAGGGGAGGGCATGCCAGGGTGGCTGGAGGCTGACCCGCTTGTGGGGCTCATGCCTGTTCCCTTTGGGAGTGGTCCGGGGGGTGGTGGTTTGCAGCCGCTCATCTTGCCTTCTGTGGGCCACTTTCCGTCGGGCAGACGTGGGTCTCCGTTTCATCTAGTGTTTCTCGTACTTTGTTCGAACCTTCTCGCTTCCTAGCGCAGCTCATGATCAAAAAAGCGATTGTGAGCACTAGAGCAGTAGAATTTTTCTTGGTCGCGAGTCGCGGATGTTTCCCCCTTGCCGTTCTTCTCGCAGTCCCATCGCATGGCGTGTAAGGCGCAACACGTGGGGAATGGGGGAGTGCGGCGGCGCCTACTCTCTGCGTGCACGCAGTCGGCTGCTCGGTGGCATGTCCTGCCACCATTGGGCCGGGTCGGGCCCACCACCACTGTTGTCGTGGCCAGCGGGAGTTCAAAGAGGGACACACCGAGGGCTCGCTGCGCCGCAGCTACCAAGGTGCTTCTCCACCGCACAACCCACGTGGCTATTGGTGCCGCGCGGAGCGGTGCCAGGAAGGCAGCCGCGCGTGCGCGAGCGAGCAGTCGGACAAACTGGGGCCCACCTGCTTCCGACTTCAACTCCGAAAACCACCCGTGCCCGGACAAGCTCAGGGCATGTGTGGGCACGGCAAGGGCGCTGCCCGAAAACCAGCGTCATTTGCTGTTTGGCGCGCTTGCGCCAACACAATAGCATCAATAGCAGCGCGTACCTGGGCGCGGAGAAGAACGGCATAAAAACTGCATTGCTGGCAGCTACCAGCACGAGTGTTGCATTGGCGTTCGACAAGGTGACAGAAGCTTCAGAAGCTTTGTGAGTGCCAGGGCGGCTTGCCATACATCGGTGGGCACATATCGGATGAAATCAATCATGGCTTGCTGTTTTGCAGCACGCTTTTGCATGCACACCGTCGCACCCAGCATCTCCCAAGACGTTTTAGGCAACAAATTCCCATAATTTTGGTCATGTTACAATACTGCATTCTCAGATGCGAAAAGCGGCTGCACGAGACAAGGTTGCAGGCCCCTTCATGATGGAAACGGGTGAAAAGTTCAGGATGAAGGTTGGAGCGAGTGCCCCACCTGGCGTGCTGTACTTGAAGGAGCCCGCCCGCCTCATCAACCGAGGACAGCGCGGGGGACTGGCCACATGGTTGGCAGATGCACGCAGCGCGGATCCATACCGAACATTATCGCGATCGCGTGCTCATGCCTGCCCTGTCGCTCAGTTCCCAAGCGATGCCCCGCTCACAGGCAGGGCCACGCGCGGGAGCATGGCTCACCGCCATACCTTGCAAACCGGCCACCACGATGCCGCCACAAGCAATGCAGAT